ATTTGTAAGTTAAATATTTAGTTTATAAACTATGACATTTATAAATGTATGAATCATATGGTGAAAAACTGACTGAAATTTTGTTTTTTTCTTATAAAATGCTAAAACAAAAATATTGCTGGTAATTTTTGACTGTATAACTTTACAAACGGCACCCCATATTGGACCCCTAATAAACCAAACAAACTGGTTGTCAGGTATTGAAACCAGGCTGATTCTTACTGGTCCAGCCACAGACAGAACTTTCAGACAGGCAGCRTCCATCTGCAGCAGGTGAAGCAGACAGCAGCAGCTTTATCTAGCAGCTCGGTGCGGTCCAAAGCTTTTCTCTGACCTTGGTTCTGCAGCAGCAGGAGCTGACGATGGAGAAACCTGCTGTTTGGAGAGCACACGGGAGCTTTTCACAGGTTAAAGCACYGAGCAGAGGATTTCCTTCAGGGTGTCTGCTCACCTCCTCACACGTCCACCTCATTACTCAGGCTCCAACACGGACAYCTTTAAGTCTGTGGGCTGAAAAGGTGCTGCTGGGCCTGACCCAATCAGCTAAAACCAACACTCACTTTAACATTCAGCATCATTACTGCCCCTTAACTCAATAATCTCTGCTCTACTGAAGGYTTCACTCTGAATTTGATTAAAACTAAGGATGAAAATCTCTTTCAAAACACTCGCTGTGACTGATGAATGTTTGAGTCGTGCAGAGGAGGACTGGGTCAGGACTCAGAGGTTGAGGAGGCTGCAGACACTCTGAACACACAGGTGATTTGACTGATTAGGCAKAAGCAAAACAGAGAGCAGGCACAGAAAGAGGTCAGTTTTTTAATAATTTCTTTACAGCAGGAACGTATAAATTTATATAAAGTCCAAAAAGTTTCTTCTTATTACAAGAGAATAATATAAATATAGAAGACGAGAGGTTTTTCTGCTCCAGCAGGTAGAAAATATACATTTGAAATGAAGCAGGTGAAACATCAGAACAGCAGGTTAATAACAAACTTTTACAAGTCAACATTCAGACCTCTGCTCGTTTTAAAGTAGGCTTGTGTGGATCTAATCAACAGGAGCGTGGCACCATGGTGGGTATAAAATGGGTGTGAGGTGGGTGGAGGTGGACAACAGAATAATGTGCAGGGCCAACAATACAGTTCTGCAAACCCTCCGTACAAAAACAAGCTTAGATTAAAAAAAAACACAACTCGCTGCTCAGAAACACACAATTCTGACTCCATTCAGACTAGCCATTAACTCATCAGTCTGATTTTTTTCTCCAGTCTGAAGTCGTTCAGAGAGCCAACAGGTAAGATATTTATTATTCATAGGTTGGAACAGAGGCTGGGATTTAAAGTCCTAAACTGTTTCATGTTAAATGTAATAAAAAGTGATTCAGAATGCTGAGTCATGTTAAGGACCAGGCTTTAGTTTGAAAACCCTGCTGGAGCTGTAAGAACTATTCAAATCTGTGAAAATATAAACACGTTACAGCTGAAATGTTTCTCTGGAGCTCTGGTACAGGTGGAGAACAGCGAGTATTAATCACTTTATTTATATGATCAGAATCTAAACTAATGGATCAACTTTTATTGAATCCTGAGATTATTTTATTTAAAAAAGGTGTATAAATGTATTAAATGACTCCAAACTCTTAGTTTATTGCTTTAAATTGAAGTCCAAACGTTTTGTTTGTTTCACGTGAGATTCTGATCAAAGTTCTGGACTTGAAAGTTTTCCTGTAGACATCTGTGGCTCCAAACCTGAGTGCTGTTCACATTAAATAAATATTAAAAATAAACGTCTGATCCAGTTTTCTGTAACATCACAGGCTTCCTGCAGCAGAACAACACCAACAGTTTTATATTAACTTTCTTTATGCCGTTTTCAGACAAACACTTCCTCCTTCTCAACCAGAAAAATCACCCTTTTCATTACTTTTATAMTAGAATTTTATACATTTTAATGAATCTAAATATTTTTGCTTTCAGTAAAAATCATTTTATCTCCACCTGTTACACAGAAATAACTATGTTGTTGCTGATCTGTTGACAGCTCAGTTTGTTTCTTGAAATGTTGTTTTTGAAAACAATTTTTAAAAAGTTTAATCATGTAAAAAATAAAAAAATGGTCAGCAGTTCAAGTTAAATAAAAACCTAATGTTTTAACTTCATACTTCACAGCTTTTTTATTTTAGTTTTATATTTTTCACAGTTAAGGGAAGGACTCAGATCAGTCTGCAGAGTTGTAAAGAAAAACTGACTTTATATATTAAATAAAGTTGAATCCTGCCTGACCCTGAAACAGATAAATCTGGTTTAAAGTCAGATTCTGGTTTCACATGTAAACATCTGGTTTCACCTGTAAATAAAATGTTCTCCAATAAACTGGATTTAACAGAAAAACTGYTAAAAGTGTCTCTTTTTAATCCAGAGGTCAGCAACATTTCGGTTTAAAAGATTTAAGCTGTGCTTTAGATCAGGATTTAATCTGAGGACACCAGATCCAGTGTAGTCTGGTGTTCTGTTAGACGTGGAGTCACACAGATTTATTTGATCTCTTTATAATTTCATATCGATCAGATTTAATTGAAGTGGATTAAAATGACTTGAATCAAAACTCTGTTTTCACCACAAGCAGCTGAAACTAGAAGCAAATAAATAAAAAATAAGAATAATTTAATATCCTGTTTACATTTTTTACATGCAGTCGGCAGGTCCGACCCGTACCTTCAGCTTGGAGACCGATACAGCGACAGTGCCCCCTGGTGGCACAAACACACAGCAACAATCACTTCCTGTTCAGTTCGAGGCTCGGGGCTCCTCTGGAGCCACAAAGTGTCTCAGAGTCRAAACTGTGTGGCAGAACTGAAGAARCACACCAGACCAGSTTATAGATTTACTTTTATGTTCAGGTCGAATTTAAACCTCTTTAAAAACTAGCAGCAAGTCTTAATAAGAAATGTGAAGCTATGTGGTCTGCTGGCCGTTCAAAAACACTTAAAGGAACATTTCAGCTGTTTTAATACGGAGTTTTGTAGGATTATTTCTCCCGACCTAATTTTGAATCAAAGATACTTCCTTCTTACAGATCTGATGAGCTAATTTCTTTCCTGCAAGTTTGAGATTACTGTGGTTTTACAGCACTGGAAGGGTTAAATCTTCATCTTCACCAATCTAACTTAGCTTAGATTGAAACAATCTTTGGTTTTGGTTGTGTTTAGACCAGACCAGGGGTCTGCAACCTCTGGGACCACATGTGGCTCTTTGACCAAATCTAACATGAGATTTGATTCTGTTTATTATTATTATTATTTTAAATCCAAAACAGAAAAATTGTTGTGGATATAAAAAATAGACAAAATAAATCTCATGTTAGATTATGCTAGTAGTTCAATCACCACTTCAATAATATGAAAATAAGACAAGTTTCTGAAAAGAACACAACAGTAAAAATGAGAAAAAAAATAAAGATAAAATGTCTGCCTAGGTGAATGTTTTAATTATTACATTTTGTATAAACTARATTTTTTCTTGTTTACACGTACATTGTGTTTTCTTTCCTCCCAGAGTGTAAAGATGTTAAAACTCACTGCAAGTGTGTAGTTTTAGAAAGTCACGGCCACTGAGCAGAAAAGACCACCTTCGATAGACTTCAGTGACGAACACGGTTGTTTCACAGCGGCGGACCGACTCAAACAGCTGATTGTAAAGGTTGCAGACCCTTGGACTAGCCATTAGCTCATCAGTCCTGAGGTCGTTCAAAGCACCCGTCTGTAACAGGTAGGATATTKATTCTTCCTAACTTGTTCACTGAACCCCGCTTTAAAACGGTCCAAAAATAAAAGCAGTTTTATTCTTCCTGCTAAGCTCCATGTCCGACAGAAGACCCGGTTCCTGTGGACCCATGGTCCTCTGGACCCGGCTCAGTCTCTGAGACACTTTGAGCCACGGAGCAGCTCCGTGTCAGACACAACTGTCATCTTTACAAAACATTCTGGGCTTTAAAGAACCAAGGCTGAACTGGGTTGTAGGTAATTCTCTCACACCATTTGTCTGTACATCAGTCCGTGTGTATACACACACACACACACACAAATTGTTGGAGTAAGCGTTTTTGTGTGTGTGTGTGTGTGTGTGTGTGTGTGTGTGTGTGTGTGTGTGTG